CTAAGCTTTATAGGCAGCAAATAACTCAGGAGGATCCAAGTGCTAGCCAAGGCCAAAAAGTAAGAGCTTTTCATCCCTTAAGGTCCTCCCAAGTCTTATCTTCACCCAATGGTCTGTCCTATCAATTTCTTTCACTTAAACTTTTTCTTTTCTCTGCACTTGGAATTCAGAGTGTGAGTAAGCTGTGCATTCAGTTTTATTTGCTGTTTCTTTTCAACTTTCCTACAGCATCTAGCACAATGCAGGAATGTGGTAGGTGCTGAGTAAGTGTTTGAAGGGGTCACGTTTGTGTCTTTCTTTGAGGCAGTGGTATGTCTTTATTTCAGGTCTTCCACTAAGTCTGGTCCTCTCAGTCCTTCATCATCTCTTCTGTCTTTGAATGGGGAAAGGCCATGGGAAAAGCACCCATCTTGGAATTAGAGGCTGGGCGCCATGGCTTATGCCTGTAATTCCAGCAATTTGGGAGGCCCAATCATGAGGATCGCTTGAGCCCAGAAGTTTGAAATGAGTCTGGGCAACAAAGTGAGACCCTGTCTCTACAAAAACATAAAAGAAAATAAGACCAGGCACGGTGGCTCATGCCTGTAATCCCAGCACTTTGGGAGGCCGTTTGAGACCAGCCTGGCCAACATGGTGAAATCTTGTCTCTACTAAAAATACAAAAATTAGCCAGGGGTGGTGGCAGGTGCCTGTAATCCCAGCTACCTGGGAGGCTAAGGCAGAAGAATCACTTGAATCCAGGAGGCAGAGCTTGCAGTGAGCCAAGATGGCGCCACTGCACCCTAACCTGGGCAACAGAGCAAGACTCCATCTCAAAAGGAAATAAGTAGCTGGGCATAGTGGCAGGTACTTGTAGTCTAGCAGCTTGGGAGGTTGAGGTGGGAAGATCACTTGAGCTTAGGAATTTGAGGCTGCAGTGAGCCATGATTGTGTCACTGCACTCCAGTCTGGGTGACAGAGTGAGACGCTCTCAAAAAAAAAAAAAAAAAGTTTGTGTTTCATCTTTGCCTTTTTACCAACTGTGTGACCTTGAGCAAATCAGTTAATCTGTAAAGGGAGATGGTTGTACTAAATGATCTCAAAGGTTTGTTTTAGTTTTAACACTAGATCTATGCTGTCCAATATGGTAGTGACCAGATACATGTGCCTATTGAGCACTTGAATATGGCTAGTCCAAACTGACATGTGCTATAAGTATAAAATACACACTGGATTTCAAAACAAGAATGAAAAATATCTCAATTTTTTTTATATTTATGTTTTATATTTTATACATGTTGAAATGATAATGTTTTGGATATCTTGGGTTAAGTAAAATATATTAACATTATTAATTTCTTTTTAAAAATGTTTTTACTTATTTATTTGGGTAGAGTTGAGGTCTCCTTATGTTGTCCAGGCTAGTCTCAAACTCCTGGATTCAAGTCGTCCTCCTGCCTTGGCCTCTCAAAGTGCCAGGGTTATAGGCCTGAGCCACCACACCCAGCTGCTCAATTTTAATTTCATGTGTTTCTTTTTACCTTTATAGTAGCACTACTAGAAAACATAAGATTATATATGTGCTGCTATGGACTGAATGGGGATCCCCTCAAATTCCTATGTTGAAGCCCTTACTTGGAGATGGGGCCTGTGGGAGATCATTAGGTTTAGATGAGGTTATGAGGTGAGGCAACATGATGGGATTAGAGTTATTATTGGAAGAGACATCAGCGCCGTTTCTCTCTCTCTGCCATGTGAGGACAGAGTGAGAAGGCAGCCATCTAGCAGCCAGAAAGAGGGCCCTCACCAGAAACTGACTATGCTGATTCCCTGATCTTGGACTTCTAGCCTCCAAAACCGTAAGAAAATAAATTTCCGTTGTTTTAAGCCACTAAGTCTGTGGTATTTTGTTCTGGCAGCACAACCTGACCGACACATGTGGTTTGTATTATATATTTATGTTGGATAGCATTGGTTCAGGTATTTGGGAACTTCTACATTATCAGCCAGCCTTCTGGCACTTGTAACTTTCTGCACTGTGTCTGTGAGAGCACAGAGATGGTCCCTAGGCCAGTGTATCCTCCCTAGTACTGCTCAATAAGCATCTGGCAATTAAGTCATTTTCTTAGTTGCAAGAATGTAAACAGTCTCTGGATAATGTATATACAAGAGGACCTCATTTAGAGAATATTGGATAACAATTGGAATCTCTGCAGGGCAGAAGCTTGGAAGATATACTCAGGCAGACAGCGATGTCCCAAATCCCACTGCAGACTAGTCTGTGAGTGACTCCACTGCTGCCCCTGAGAACCAGAGCAGGTTGCCCATTGGCAGAGTGAAGTGGGTATGTACTTCCAGCCCCGTTAGTTTCCAGTTCAGAGTTCAATTGATTGAATTTGAATAGGGGACTCTAGCTGCAAGGGAGTCTGGGAAGGTGAGCAATTGCTTTTGAGCGTTTCTTAAGTGGAAAATGGGCCCTTATCATAAGCAGAAGATTTATTCCTTTAACATAGGAAGGGTCTTTAGATGCTGGGCTGCCAAGTAAGAACGACTGGAACCCTTTCCTTGTGTTGCCTGAGACCTTGAAATTTTGACTGCAACACAGCAGAAGTTTCCCTCGAGACTCCTCAGCCGGAACTCCTTCACATGGGAGTCTCTTCGGATCTCCTTGTTCTTCTGGGAAGTATGAAGCAGAACTGTTGATGTCATACATTCTAATGCTACAATTATAATTTCATTATGTCCTTTGAAAGTTCTCATATGATATTTTAATGCAGAGACACAGGAGGGCACTCTAACCAACTAGTAATAAAACCTGAATGGTTTCATAGCCTTGGCAGTTAAAAAATGGATGTTGATTTTGTTGAACCTGTAAAACACAGCTTTTTCTTTCTTTTTTTTTTCTAGGCAGGATAACCAACTTTGCAGGACTACCTTGCAAAAATACCCTGCAAAATACCCTAGCTTCTGTGGGGGTATCTTGCCTATGACAAAGGTTCTCAAGACATACCCTCCACATTAGCCAGTTAATTATCTAGGAAGCATGGCTGTGAGCAACTCAGAACAGGGAAGGAGTTTTTTGTTGTTGTTGTTCTGTTGTCCAGGCTGGAGTGCAGTGGTGTGATCGTGGTACATTGCAGCCCTGAACTCCTGGGTTCAAGGAATCTTTCCACCTCAGCCTCCCAAGTATTAATAGCTTGCACTACAGGAGCGCCACCTTGCCTGGCTATTAAAATTTTTTTCTTTTTTTTTTTGTTTTGGTGGAGACAAGTGTCTCTCTATGTTGCCAGGGCTAGGGAAGAGGATTTTTGACTACAGCTTACCCCCTGCCTCAGCCACTAAAGAGATAGCAACCAGGTTGCCAAGGGCTCACATTTAAAGGTCAATTGACCAAATCAAACCTAGAACAGAGAAGAGAGTTGTCCTGAGACTTTCTTCAAATTTGCAGCGTGTCCCCATGACTCAGTTTCCCCATCTGTAAAATGAAGATAACACACACCTATGTCTGCATAGTTTGCCAATTAAGAGAGAGTGGGAACAACATATCTGGGGGCGACATTTGCCATCCCATGCAGACAGTTGACTTCTGTACTCAAAAATTAAAGCCAGCCTGCGTCCTGCTAATGAGTGATAACACACGAGAGGGACAAAGCGTGCTCTGCTGACAGCTGGAGTAACAAAAGTAACAAGGGAAGGTCGGAACAGGATCTGCTGGCTCCCAGCTCACTTTCCCCACACAGGTCTCTCCAGCTGAAGACCCGAGGCTGGGGAGGCAGAGCGCGGGGCTGCTTCGAGGGTTTGCCTCCCTAGGCAGGGGCAGGACTTGTTCTGGGCGACTGCAGGGTTACTCGCGGTCAAGGGTGTCGCATTGAAGAGCCGGCTCCTTCCGGCTGGAGCGAGGCTGGACGGCTGGGTGCAGCCTCTCAGCCTCTCACACCAGCTCTGCGTCCGTAGTGGCTGTTAGCGCAGCCGCCCCGCGGGTGTTCCGGGCTTAGTCCCCGCTCCCCAGCGCCAGACGCAGACTCTGGGCCAAATTCTCCCTCTGCTCGCTGCTTTCTGCCCCAGGACCGGTATTCATAAAGGAAAGGAAAGCCGGGGGGAAATGATGGAGAAAAGAGAGAAAGGAGGTGCTTGATTTCACCCACCAAGGAGTTACTGCTCATCGGCCGACACTGGGCGCTGCCTATGCGTCTTAGACCCCAAATCTCGGCTCCCTGGTTCCTTTAAGGAGGTCGCCTGGTGTTCCTCTAGCCCTCCACCCCACCGTAGGAGAGCGCCTGCCACGCGCCCGGCGCCCGGCGCCCCGCGCCGCGCTAAGTTCTTTGCTATGTGAACTCTTAGTTTTCCTAACATCTCTCAGCCGCGGATACATTATCACCCACGTATTGCGGACGAGAGAACCGCCTCGGAGAAGCTGGCTGGCTCGCCTGGAGTTTTGCAGCTAGTGGAGGAGCGAGGACCTGGAGCAGGGACTGTGGGATCCTCCAACGCCGGCCGCAGCCCACAGCCGCTTCGTTCCGCCGGGTTACTGCGCGGCCGCGGTGTCTGCACCTGTTGCAGCCCTCGCTGGGAGGGACTGGAGGGAGAAGGGAAGGACAAAGGGGATGACCAGTGGCTCTTCCCCGACGGACTCCCGGCCCGGGGAGCGGATACGCCACTCACAGAGAGAGTGTGGCTTTGCGCCTTGGAGAGGGTGATCTCCTTCTTCAGGGATCGCGTCCCCAGCGGGCGCAGAGTTTCGGGGAAATGTCCGCCCCCGCCACTTAGGGTGGCAGGGGCGAGAGGAGGATCTAGGGGTCTAGGGGAGGGCAGTGGGAGAAAGCTGGGGCTGCCGGAGCGGGCCGGGGAGGAAGCTAGGCTGCGCGTGCGGCGTCCACGTTGTGAGGGTGCAGCTCTTTCATTCAAACTTTCTTCAATCTGGGTTCCGGCGTCTGCGAAGGTGGGACCAATCAGAGTCCAGAGACGGGAATAAATTATGCAAATCACCATCTGGCGATGGGTCAGATGACTCCCATACTTTTAAAAACTACCTCTATAGGAGTGTGACAGCAGCGAGCCCTAGCCTTTCCGCGGCTCGGGGCGAGGGCAGACCTGGTTCTGGTGCAAGCCGTTCACACTCGCTCCCTGCCACTGCCCGTGGCTCCGTGAGGCCAAATTTTCCTTTTCCACCTTCTCCTCGTCCCGCACCCCCAGCCCCTGGTCGAGAGAAGGCTGCCCACTTCTGATCTTACCAGCCCAGACTGCTGGAAACACCGAGAGGTGGTTTTTGTCTTTTAAAACTCCTGTCTCGGGGGAGGGGTTGTGACAAGGCAAGATGAGAAACTCCGTTCCTCTGCTCTGTTTCTGGAGCCTCTATTGCTGTTTTGCTGCGGGGAGCCCTGCACCTTTTGATCCAGAGGGACGGCTGGAAGGTAACTTGCATTTATTTTTACTCCCCCTAGCCACTTCTCTATGCTGGATCCCCTCTGTCTTAACGGTTCTTCAATCCCTCCTTGCTCCTCTGAAATTCTTCCTTTCCCACTGCGCTGCCCATTTCTCCTCCAATCCACCTTGGAGTCCACTTGTCTCTCCGAGCTTCTGATGTAGGTTTCCCGGGCAAGTCATGCAAGAGGGAAAGGCTGGCAGGGTGCACTGCCTCTGGCCAGCCCTCTCGCCCCCACCCCCTTCCTTTATATGGCTCCCTCACCCGCGCTGGTGCTGTCCAGCCAGCTCAGTGGCCCGCCAGCAGCTCCGAAACCTTGTCCCGATGCCTGAACCTGGAGGTCTGAGAGGCAAGACGGTTGTTAGAAAGACCTCTGTCTTTTGGAGCTGCCTTTTTTTTTTTTTTTTTTTTTTTTTTTTTTTTTTTTTTTTTGAGACGGAGTTTCGCTCTTGTTACCCAGGCTGGAGTGCAATAGCGCGATCTCGGGTCACCGCAACCTCCGCCTCCTGGGTTCAGGCAATTCTCCTGCCTCAGCCTCCTGAGTAGCTGGGATTACAGGCACGTGCCACCATGCCCAGCTAACTTTTTTGTATTTTTAGTAGAGACGGGGTTTCACCATGTTGACCAGGATGGTCTTGATCACTTGACCTCGTGATCCACCCACCTCGGCCTCCCAAAGTGCTGGGATTACAGGCTTGAGCCACCGCACCCGGCCCTGGAGCTGCCTTTTAATCTTGATGTAGGCGTCTTGAAAGTTCAGGTAGCAGGGTAGGAGGCTGTGGTTTGATTAGTGCTTGCCGGGAGCCTCCAGTAGGTCACTTGTGCTTAGAAGCTGCAGGGCTTACTCCCCCAGATTGCCAGGCTTTTCCTCTTCAACACTTTTGTGCTCCCCCACTCTTCCTCTTCCCACTCCTCTTCCCTTTCCTCCTTCTGGCTTCTAGCTTTTCTTCCTCTTGAGATCTGCATGGCAGCCTTTTCCAGTGGAAGCAGCCTGCCCTGGGGGAGCCACTCAGTCACCCAGAGTGAGAACTAAGTCAGCTGGTTAAGCAGGGGAGGGCTGGGGAGCCCCCAAACGGAATCCCATCATCTCATCTTCTCCTAGTCTGCTGAGGTTGTGCCAAAAGGTCTGCATTGGCTTCTGCATGTGTGGGAGGGTGTCTGTGAATGAATGGAAAGCTTGGCTCAACTCAGCATGTTTCCAACTCTGGTGCTAACTAGAAGAATTGCCTGGGGCAGGTCTCATCTCTGGCTCCTCACCTGTTAAATGCTAAAATTCCTTCTAACTTCTGTGTTTCATGCCTCTGAGTTTGTGTGAGTCATTTCATTCATTTCAAAAACTATTTCCTGTATGGCTACTTTGAGCCAGGCACTATTCTGGGAGCAGGGGAGACAGCAGTGAATGAAACAGATGGCAATCTCTACCCTTGTGATGCTTACCTTTCAGTGGTGGGAAGACAGGCAGAGCACTGATTAAAATGTCAATGGTGCTCAGTGTTATGGAGAAAAATCAAGCAGAGGAGGAAGGTGGGCATGCTAGTCGGGGAAGGTGGTGCGATGTGGCAATGTGGTCGGGGAAGGCCTTGTGGAGAAGTTGGCCATTGAGCAAAGAGCCGAAGTGGGTGAGAGAAGGAGGCACGAGGACATCTGGGTGAAGAACAATCAGAAAGTTCCAGAGGCTGAAGTGACCAGGCCAAAAGTAGTACAGATGCAGCTAAAGAACTTTGCGGTCAGAGCAGGTCAGACGCCAAGGGGAAGAGTCTTTGTCCTTATGCTGGTTTATCCACAGATCTGTCTCAGGAAGCCAGCAGCCACCTTTTCTCCTAGACTTCCCCACCTGGTCTCTGCGTGAGTGGCTATCTGGGTAAAAGCTGGGGAGTTGTCGAACTCGTTATGACTGTGGTTCACATTTCTGCTGGTTGGAGCTTTTGTTCCTGACTTTCATGACAGTTAACCTGATTTCTGCCCATGTGCATTCAGCAGCCTTTTCTGGAACCTTATCCCTCTTCCATCTGTTGCATTCTCCCCCTCTCCCACTCCTTTCCCTCTATCCTCTCCACCGTTATATTGCTTTCCTTTTGGTATTTTTTTTTCCTTTTGCTTCTTAACTTTGAGATAAATTAACTCCAGGATGGTCATTTGGCGACTTTCCCTGCTGGGTGATAGATTTGATACTCTCTGGCCCGTTAACTAGTGATGCATCCAGGATGGCTGTAAGAGTGCCTGGTGGTTCCATGTGTGACTTTCTGAAATGATGTCGTGATGACAGCCCCTACCTAGTGTTAAGCCGCAGGGGCCATCAGTGACATGAGCTGCACTTTGGGAGCAGGGCCATCTCCCAGTTGGCACTGTGCATGAGCAGTCAAGCTGGAAGGGGGATTCTGTTGCCCTTAGGAGTTTCTCCATGGCTTCAGTCATTCACTTAAACTGGATGAACGCCTGGCATATGCCACCACTAGAAAGGGCGCTGAGGATGCCTGAGGTTCCCTAGATGGGAACACTAGGGGAAGCCTATTTTCCAACAGATCAGCAGCCTCTTGCCTCCAATTCCAAAATGCGCAATCTCTCAAAATTGGAAAATGTGTTTGGTAACTTGTTTGGCAGCAAGAGCTTGTTTGGCCTTACCTGATCTGAACTCATTTGGCAGCAAAAACCCGGCCTGAGATGACAAGAGGCTATAGATTATGCTTGCCCTCAAATGTGAGTGGTTATGTATTTCTCTGCAGAAATATTAGGGTGCTTGATCTGGGGGGATAGCCCAGACCACACTGGCAGCATTATATGATATATGGTGTATGCTCCATAATGCCTTTCTAAAATCTGAAAACTTCTGAATTCTGAAACTCACCTGGTCCCAAGCATTTCAGAAAAAGAATTGAGGACCCGTGCTCTAAAAGTAGGAAGGAAGGACAACTCCTTTTGACACGAAAGAAAGGGAAAAGCAAGAGAGAGACCGATTTATTTCTAGTGACAGTAATAAATACTGGTGACTAATACACATTAAGTATAGATGAGATGTCCTTTTTATAATAGCTTCACAGTTTTTCTGGGAGGTGAAAAGGGAACATTCAGCAGATGTAAAAACTGAAACCCAGATGGCTTAAGCAATTTGCTCACTATTGACATAGAACCAGACCCCAGGTCTCTCACTCCCCAAGTCTGCTAGATGCACCCACATTCTGTTCTTTCTTCCCAGATGAGCTCCACAAACCCAAAGCTGTACAGGCTGAGGTCAAACCCTCTGTGAGGTTTAACCTCCGCACCTCCAAGGACCCAGAGCATGAAGGATGCTACCTCTCCCTCGGGCACAGCCAGCACTTAGAAGACTGCGGTTTCAACATGACAGCTAAAACCTTTTTCATCATTCATGGATGGACGGTGAGCCCCGGGAGGGAGCTCTGAGGCTTTACACAAGATCTGATTCCCTTTGTTTTGGTCAATTAGAAACAATTCTGGTGTTTCCAGATTCCAAACCCTCTTCCCCCGTTTCCTTGTGGGCTGCTTGTATTTCAGACAGCTGTGAAGAATGTAACGGGCATTCGCTAAGGGGCAATCTGGACTCCAGCAGGGTAGTATTAATGCTGGCACACAACGGGCTTTCAGAAAGTGGCTCTCCTGAGGGCAGCAGCCCAGCTCCGCTGGCTCTGAAGGACCCCTTTAATTACACTTAATTACGCTGGTCAGCCACTGCCTGGAAGGGGCTATCCTGCCGTGAGAGCTGAGCTTAACTAAAGCAACTTGACTGGCTCCGAGAACCTGTGAGTAGCCAGCTGGCCTGGATTGCCGGCTGCCCTTGGCATAGTGCCCTCCTGTTTGCATAGAGATAGCTCCGTTTAAAGGCACTGGGGCTCTTTATGTGTCCTAGCTGAGCAATTCACATTGAAAAGCCCATGACAAACTTCAACAAAAAAGGGCTTTAGCACTCAGCTTCAGAAGCTTTTGACCAGCCAGGGATTTATTCATTCATATAATGACAGTCTGTAGGGAAATGGCACTATTAAGTGAGCAGATTTCTGCCTGGGCTAATTGGAAGGGGACAGTCTCCTCTTAATGATGAGAAATTCATACCTGTTACATGCTTTTGGGGTCTTTAGGTCTAAGATCCACGGTTGCGGTCAGGGGCAGGAGAGGGTAGGTGCCTACCTACTTTGATGAATGCAGAGATGATTAAGAGCCTGTGCATCCCTGCTCATCAAATAGGCTGCAATCGGAATCATACGTTTGAATCTGTTTAAGGCCCCCTGTCAAAATGCAAATACAAGCTGCCTGTGACTTACAAATGGGTTGCATTCCAGAAAGTTCTTTTGTAATCTGTTTGGAACTCGGAACAGCAGTTTCCCATAGAAGCAAGATTGTAAATGGCGTTTGGGTTCCCAGGCTAGGCACAGAAAATCTATTTATTTGACAATGTGCTTGTGGATAGGTTTACAACTGGACTAGTCACCATTTATAACTTTGTTTCTGTGGGAAAATATGTTCTCAGTTGTAATTTGGGATTCCAGGGACAGATTTTCCCTACTCTGGGGTCAAGAGGGATGGCAGAGATGGGTTGTGGGAAGGGCTCACTTGTTAACTCTGCATTCACCTAGGAGACAGCATCTCCCTGCATCTCTAAGAGAAAACCGAATTCTCCGGGGAAACCCTCCCCAGCTGCCTTTGAAGGATGGACCAGGCCACTTGCCTGTCTGTAACAGGGACTCATATCAGCCTCATTCCAGTATCACCCTTAACGCATATCTCATAGTGGCCCTAGCAGACAGTGGGGCAACAGTATAGGACATTAGCTAGGAAAGTTTTGATGGGAAATACTGGTGATGTAAAGAGCAATGGAAAACAAATACCTGCATAGTGATTCTGCCTGTGCTGGTCCTGCTCATGTGCAAATATTTGGTCTCTGAGCAGCCAACGTGCAGGTTCTAAAATTGGCTGGGGGCTGGGCATGTTGGCTCTGGATCCCAGTGCTCTGGAAGGCCAATATGGGAAGATCACTTGAGCCCAGGACTTTGAGACCAGCCTGGGCAACAAAGTGAGACCCTGTTGCTACAAAAAATTTAAAAATTGGCCAGGCATGGTGGCTCATGCCTGTAATCCCAGCATTTTGGGAGGCTGAGATAGGTGGATCACGAGGTTAGGAGATGGAGACCATACTGGCTAACACAGTGAAACCCCAGATCTACTAAAAATACAACAAATTAGCCAGGCATGGTGGCACATGTCTGTAGTCCCAGCTACTCGGGAGGCTGAGGCAGGAGAATCACTTGAACCCAGGAGGTGGAGGTTGCAGTGAGCTGAGATTGCACCACTGCACTCCAGCCTGGGAGACAGAGAAAGGCTCCATCTCAAAAAAAAAAAAAAAAAAAAAAAAAAAAAAAAAAAAGATGTGTGCCTGTAACCCCAGCTACTCTAGAGGCTGAGGCGGGAGGATCACCTCTCCTGGACTTAACCCAGGAGTTTGAGGCTATCATGAGCTGAGATCGTTGTCAGTGCACTCCAGCCTGGGCAACAGAGCAAAACCCTGACTCAAAAAATAAAAATTAGCTGGAGAGAGGGTCATATAGAATGGAATCCCATATTGTTTAGGAGTTACTGAAACCGAGGAGAGTAAAAAATAACTTCCACTTTTCTCTGCAGATGAGTGGTATCTTTGAAAACTGGCTACACAAACTCGTGTCAGCACTGCACACCAGAGAGAAGGACGCCAATGTAGTTGTGGTTGACTGGCTCCCCCTGGCCCACCAGCTTTACACAGATGCAGTCAATAACACCAGGGCGGTGGGACACAGCATTGCCAGGATGCTCGACTGGCTGCAGGTACCGGGGGCTGAGGGGGAGTCTCCTGTCGCCAGCAGGATCTCAAACCCCAGTCTTCCTGAGAAGTGCAGATCATACATCTGTTGCTCTGAACTTCTGGAGTCTGATACAAATCTTTAGGATTAAAAGTTTTGTTGAATTAAGTATTGCTCGGAATACTTGAATGCTGGAACTTTTCAAAAGCCTTTTAATTATTGTCAGATCTCTGGATTTTTCCTGTTTCTTAATTTGCTGAAAATTGGCTTTATGAGTTCTTCTTTCCTGATCTTAGAAACAGATGCCCTTAGGTTGGTTGGGGATGGCCAGGAACCAGGGCAGGCTGTGATCTGAAATTCCTACGAAGCCTGCTCTCGCCTCTGAAGCATGGCTGTGCTGAGGGTGGGGAGGGGGTTATTTCACAAATGCAGCCTAATACCTCTTTTAAAATATGAAGTGTAGAAAACAGATCTTGAAGTCTTATATTTACTTTTGTTTTTGAGATGGAGTCTCGCTGTCACCCAGTCTCGCTGTCACTGGAGTGCAGTGGCATGATCTCAGCTCACTGCAACCTCTACCTCCTGGGTTCAAGCAGTTCTCCTGCCTCAGCCTCCTGAGTGGCTGGGATTACAGGTACCTGCCACCACACCCAGCTAATTTTTTTGATTTTTAGAAGAGATGGGGTTTCACCATGTTGGCAGGGCTAGTGCCAAACTCCCGACCTCAGGTGATCCGCCTGCCTCACCCTCCCAAAATGCTGGGATTACCGGCATGAGCCACCTTACCCAGCCTATTTACTTTTAATAGGTTAATAATTTGCCTGAGATCAATGGACTTAGCCGGGAGAAGGCAGGGCAGGCCACACTGTCAAAGCAGCATCATTATCTGGGCAATTCTGGCCCGGCCTTCCTTATTCCCATGGAGTGGGATGAATTCTGGTAGAATTCTGGTCAGGATTCTCGAGTAATCCCTCTGTCCTCTGTCTAGCCTGTTCTACAGAGTTTGGTTCCCAAGCCGTGGGGTTACCTCCTTACCCCCCAAATGAGTGCTCCGACAGGGGACAGTGCTTCAAGCCTGGGTCCCAGGTGGGCTTGTGGGGAGGAAGTCAGCAGCTGCAGGGGCTGGGTGGAGGTCAGGACTTAGAGGGCAGGCAGAGGGCATTCTGCTGAGGGCTGTGGCTGGCACTGTAGTCTCCAGTGACTAAGGCAGCTTTGACCTCACCACCCTCCCCTCTCTTAGAAACTGCCAGAAAGAACAGAAAATACGTAGGAAACAGCCAGGTATTCAGCCTGTAGTCATACCCTCCACCCTGCCCCGTGCTTAGCATTTGCAGTGCTCCAAGTCCTTTTGGCCTCCCTTAAGCTGGCTGTGACCCACATACGTGGCATCACTAACAAAGCCAGAGGGGCTCTGGGGAGTCTGTGCCCACGGCGCCTGCGTCTCCTCCTGTACAGTGATTGAATTGTTGAATTGCTGCTGACTCTGGGGGCTCTGGACCCTGCTCTTTTGCCCACATACTTTGGTGACTTTCTGCAGGAGAAGGATGAATTTTCTCTCGGGAATGTCCACTTGATTGGCTACAGCCTCGGAGCGCACGTGGCCGGGTATGCTGGCAACTTCGTGAAAGGAACGGTGGGCCGAATCACAGGTGAGCTCCGCTTCCATCACCAACAGCTGGTGATTGCTGGGCTCCCTCAGCTGTGCTGAATCAGAATGCTACCAAATGAGGCAGTGGAGTGAGTCATAGAAGGTTAGCTTCGGGAGGAACCTGGAGAACACCTCATCCCAAACTTCCCAAATGTTCTTTTTAGTCACAGGACCCTTTGTTTTCAAACTGAACTTGCACAGTCCCCCAGTATATGAGGCAGAGAGAGAGGGGGTTGCTGTGGGTGAAGCAGGGTGGGTATATGATGGGTTGTGTTAGCCTTGCCAACGTGGGGTTTCCCTTTCCCTGGAGGCATCTCAGAGTATCAGAGCACCAGGGAATACAGTTTGAAAATCATTGTTCTAGTCCAGCAGGTGAGGAAACAGACACCGAGAGGTGAGGCAACTTGCCCAGGGGCAAATAGCTAATAACTCAGGAGCAGAAGCTGGTGGAGCCCTGCCCCAAAGCTTTTGGGTGTTCACTTCAGGTCTCCACCCAAGGATTCAGAGGGAAAGAATGAAGACTGGATTTTAGGATTCTAGTTTGAATTCTTTTTTTTTTTTTTTTTTTTTTGAGTTGGAGTCTCACTCTGTCATCCAGGCTGGAGTGCAGTGGTGTGATCTCGGCTCACAGCAACCTCCGCTGCCCGGGCTCAAGCGATTCTCCTGCTTCAGCCTCCCGAGTAGCTGAGATTACAGGTGCCTGCCACCATACCCAGCTAATTTTTGTATTTTAAGCAGAGATGGAGTTTCACCATGTTGGCCAGACTGGTCTCAATCTCTTGACCTTGTGATCTGCCCACCTCGGTCTCCCAAAGTGCTGGGATTACAGGAGGGAGCCACTGTGCCTGGCCACTAGTTTGAATTCTGCATCTGATTTCTCTCTTTTTTTTTTTTTTTTTGAGATGGAGTCTTGCTCTGTCACCAGGTTGGAGTGCAGTGGTGTGATCTCAGCTCACTACAACCTCCATCTCCCAGATTCAAGTGATTCCCCTGCCTCAGCCTCCTGAGTAGCTAGGATTACAGGCAGGTGGACCATGCCCAGCTAAGTTTGGTATTTTTAGTAGAGACGGGGTTTCACCATGTTGGCAAAGATGGTCTTGATCTCCTGACCTAGTGATCTGCCCACCTTGGCCTCCCAAAGTGCTGGGATTATAGGTGCGAGCCACCGCACCTGGCCTCTGCCTCTGGTTTCTATCTTGTCTCCCAATAGTCTCTTTCCCATATTATAAGGTAGTATATTTGTGAATGATAGCTATCAATTTAGAATGGGTGGTTCAACTTTGTAATTAAAGGGACCTTTCTGATACTGGTCCCCAGGGGACCAATAGAAAATTGAATTTTCCATGTTGAAAACTGCATCTTACTGATGAGAGCATTTGGATTAAATCTTTTAATGATTGTGAAAAGTATAAAATGTTTTCTTTCTCATTTTGGGGCCCTTCAAGTATATATACAAAACTTCCTCTATGCTAAAATTCATGGTCAATTTGTTTCCCTAAACTTCTTTCCTCCTTCCCGTGTTATTTTATTTATCTTCACCTCTAGCTTCCACCTCACTCCCAAGATACTAAGGGTGATCACCTGGAAGGAGAGATCTGAACAATTCCTTTCCCTGCAGTGTTTTCATTTTAAAACAAAACTCAGGCCAGGTGCAGTGGCTCATGCCTGTAATCCCAGCACTTTGGGAGGCCAAGGCGGGCAGATTACTTGAGGTCAGGGGTTTGGGACCAGTCTGGCCAACGTGGTGAAACTCTGTCTGCACAAAAAATATAAAAAGTAGCTGGGTGTGGTGGTGCATGCCTGTAATCCCACCTACTCTGGAGGCTGAGGCTGGAGACTTGCTTGAACCTGGGAGGTGGAGGTTGCAGTGAACCTAGATCATGCCACCGCACTCCAGCCTGGGTGACAGAGCAAGACTCCGTCTCAAAAAGCAAAACAAAACTCAGGTAGAAGAGTTTATTATTAGCTAAATAATGATTTGGTAAAGGTAGAATTTCAGGTTTCAGTGACAAGCTGGTATGGTAGAATTTTAAAGAGAACATTTGTGAGGTTTTCCTGGCTCTCTTGAACCTTGTCCCTGGGCTTGAGTCTAGTAAATGCGTTGCACACACACCAACGCGCATGCACGCACATGCCTGCCGATCCGATGATTTGATTTGTCCTAGCTTGAGAGCTTTATTTTGATTTCCAAGACTGTGGGGCTTGAGCTGCCCAAAGTGGGCTATGATTATGTGGCCACCCATGACTGCTCATTAACCCCTTGCTGGTACAAAGCAGTTTGGCCTGAAACCATTCCAGTTCCACTGTCTGAGGGCCTCTTCCTAGCCCCTGAATGATAGGTGTGACGTTTCAGATCCAGGCAGCTGAGTTCCAATTGTAGCACACACTAGAATCAGGCCAGGGTGTCAGTGACAATGACAAAATGCAGATCCTGCCTTTCTCTGTTTCTAAATCTGAAATGAGATGGGGCTAGGGAGAGAGTTTTCCAGTTCTTTCTTTCCCCTGCCTGTTTGAGTGGCATCTGCTGGGGTGAGGGCTTCTCTCTAGAGAATAGCAGGGGAGACAGGCAGAATGCTAATTAGTGCTCTGTGATGTTTGCATGGAAGCCCACATGCCCTGAGCACAGCCCCTTCCCTCTGCCCTGTAGAGCAGGGGTCTGGCCTCTGTCCAGTTGCCAAGCAGCACCTCGGGATTATTTGACTTACCTGACACATGCTATTGTGCGTGTCTGATGGAGGCGGCTGTGTCCCCTTCTCTCCCTTTAGTTGGTAGACTTCTCACGGACCTGTGGACCAGGTGATTGCAACTGGTAAGAGGATGGATTGAGGCTTGCATAGGTCCTGTGTCCAGTGATGGCACTATGCCAAGGCCGCCAGGCAGTCTTAGCCTGGGGCTTGCAAGGGGATACTTGAACCCCAATCTTGCTTGGGCCAGAGGGTGTGGATGGGGGTTTGCTAGAGTCTTACTCTCTTAGGCTTCTGGGAGAAGTCTGTGATATACTAGGAAAGAGGTCGTATCTTTGTAATTGAACCTGCGTCTTGTTCATTATAAACAGGTAAGTAAGCAGATGTATTTATTCAAGAAATGTGAATTCAGTGTCCACTATGTATAGGCTAGATGCTAGCTAATGTCAAATACCTCATGTGTGACAGCTACTTTATGCTATCTGTGAGCCACATAGCAATCCTGAACATTCTACAGATGGGGAAACTAGAACTCAGTGATAAAGTACAATGTCCACTATCCTGGGCCCTATAAGTAGCAGAGCTCGGACTCGAACCCATGCTGTCAGATTCCAGATCCCAGTGACCTCACTGCTGTGCTATGCTGCCCCTCTTCTATAGGTAGAGATAAAGTAGCCAGGCATAGTGGTGCATGTCTGTAATCCTAGGTACTCAGGAGGCTGAGGTGGGAGGATCACCTGAGCCCAGGAGGCAGAAGTTGCAGTGAGCTGAGATTGCGTCACTGCACTCCAGCCTGGGTGACAGAGGGAGATCCTGTCTAAAAAAAAAAAAAAAAAAAAAAGGAGGTATTGAACTATTGAACTTAGAGCAGGCCCTGCCCTGCCAGGCCAGAATGCACAGCCCTAGAAGTTTTGCATGCGTGCATGTGTGCGTGCTCCATTTGCTGGACAAAGCAACTTTGGAGGAGTCTATGACTGAATGAAAGAAGTAGGGGTTGTCTATCTCCCCTTTATTTAAGGGGGCAGTTTTCCTTCTCATTCATCCCTAGTTAAAAAAGTTAAATGTGCCACTGTGCCCCTGAATCTGTGGGCCACAGATATGTGTCAAGGACAGTCAGAGCAGGGCAGGCAGGTTCTGGCTGGGTAGGTGAAGGCCCAGCCTTGCCCACCAGCCAGGCCGTGAAACCCCATCAGCTGCTGGCATTCCTTCAGCACAGCCTGGTTTCCATGGCACTGACCGTCTGGTGGGGATCTTTGTTCACACCAAGTAAAGAGCCTTTCTCTTGTATTGATTGCAAAGCAGAATGTTGCTCTCTCTTTCTGTCTCCTCCAGGGGACATGGTGAGAGGCAGGGAGAGGCTGCTGTGTCAGTACTGTGGTTTTTGCCGCCTCTGAAATGGGTTGTCGCGGGCTATTCTGGGAAGACGCTGCTTTCGTGCCATCTTTCTTTTGGGTCCTGGGCTAGGGTTGAACCCTCAAGAAGCCTGGGCTCCCTTTCTGTCTTAGTCACATATAACACTATCTAAATTTTTGGAAACCCTCCTCTACCAGTTCTCATGAGTAATGAGTTCTGCAAGTGGACTGTCCCCTCTGGACAGAAGCTCTGCCTGTTGTTTATCCTGAAATGAGCCTCTCCATTCTCCCGACGCGCTCCCTGGTTCTAATGTGCTGGGGGGTGGTGAACACGGTTCACTCACCCATTTCCTCCTTTCAGGACTCCTATTGGTCACATCTCATCCCAGTCTTGGTGTTTCGAGGCCAGGGTTTCTCAGTCTAGGCATTATTGACATTTGGGGCCAGATAAGGTTTTGGTGTGGGGTATGTGTGTGTGTGCTTGCATGTGCGTGTGTGTGTATTGGGGGGGATTGACTTGTGCACTGTAGGATGCTTAGCTGTATTTCTGGCCTGGCCCTGCTAGATGCCAGCAACTCTCTCCATCAGAATGGGGGCAAAAAAACATCTCCAGGCATTGCCAGATGTCCCCTGTGGGGGTAAAACCGCTTGTAGTGATGAACCGCTATTCCAGGGGCCTTTCCTTTCTGGCACATTTTGTCTCTTAACTTTCTCCAGGTCCTTCCTGTGTGTCTGTGGGGCAAAGAGCTGTTCTGGTTGGGATAAATCTGGTTCCCATAATCACTTGGGCTTGGTAACAGTAGCTAGTACTGACGGGCACTCAGTGTCTTATGATCTCACATGGGCTGTATGAATTAAGGGATAAATTCAGGTTCCATCGATAGCAAAGCACAAAGATTTCCAATATTTGGTCCACAGAATACCTACTTTTAGGATCATCTGGGGAATGAATATCTACTTCTAGGCTCCGTAATTCATATCTAACCATCAGAATCTCTAGGAGGTCAGGGACTTGGGAATCTGCATTTTTATACTTTGCAAGTTCTTTCTTGGAAAGGTTTTACATTAATGCAGTTTTCAAATCAAAAGATGGTGAAAAGTCTCTCTTACTGTTCTGGCTACCTGTCCAGTTCCCTTACCTGCCCTCTCCCCCAGCGCATATACATACGGGTAACTAGTTGCTTGTATGTCCCTCCAGAACTTTGTGTAGCTGTATGGTGGAATTTAAGTTTAACAAGTGCCCAGTGCTATTTGTGCAGTTTCAAATATGAGAACCAGTGCTCTCAATGTGCCGCTTGCCTGCTCAACACAAAACGTTTGGAGACAGAAAGGTTTTCTCACTGTGGCTGCAAAATAGAGCAATTCTGAAGGCCTGATGTATGGATTCTCAGTGTATTGGGCATCCTCTTCTCTCTCATGATTCCAACCCTCGGCCTGGCTCATAACTAAAGGAAGGGGAAGAATAAGTCCAAACACAAATAGCTCAGTTTGGGGAGACTGGGTTCTCCTTCCAGAAGGATATAGGCAGCTTAGTTATTCTGGAAAAATTCTGCTAAAATTAAGGACGTGAAAGGTGCTCGGTGGCAGGATGAATGGGACAAATGGCTACATTTCAGGCAGTCTGAGTTCTTTCTAGAACTGTTTCAGTTTTAACAGGAGCAGTTCCTTGGAGCTGCAGGGCGGCAGCATGAACCCTGTGGCTAGTTTATGGGCTTTGGCTGAGGTGTCAGGATACAGGAAGGCTTCAGAAGAAAGTGTCAATTCCATAACAATAGGATGTAATTTACCCAATGATGTCTTGGGGTCAATTGCATATGGAAATGGGTTCCTTATTTTCTTCCATGCTTCCCATGTCTTGATTCTCCAGGCTGGGTTCAGAAGGCATCTTCATTCTGCACACTCAGACTTAACTTGTAATCAGGACTCACTGACTTGGTGCGCCTGACAGAGCTGGTTTGGGTTCCCCTTCTGCTGCAGGTTTGGATCCTGCCGGGCCCATGTTTGAGGGGGCGGATATCCACAAGAGGCTGTCTCCTGATGATGCGGATTTTGTGGATGTCCTCCACACCTACACACGTTCCTTCGGCTTGAGCATCGGCATTCAGATGCCTGTGGGCCACATTGACATCTACCCCAATGGGGGTGACTTCCAGCCCGGCTGTGGACTCAACGACGTCTTGGGAACAATTGGATATGGAAGTGAGTTCTCTCTTTTCTGCTCTGTGTTTGACTCAGTCCCATCTCTTTCTACATCAGCCAGAGCCTTCAGCGCTGCAGGCACTACTCGTTCATTATTCTCACCTCCCACCACAGTGGCCCTCCAGCGCTGTTTTAATGTTTCTCGTTGTCCTCCAAGACTAACTCATTCAGTGGTTTCTGCTCTGCTTTCTCATGCTTTAAGGTCACAGTTGTGCCTTCCTCCTTCCCTCCTTCCCTCCCTCCCTCCCTCCCTTCTCTCTCTCTTTCTCTCTCTCCCTCTCTCTTCTTTTCTTCTTTCTTTTTTTGACAGAGTTTTGTTCTTGTTGCCCAGGCTGGAGTGCAATGGTGCAACCTCGGCTCACTGCAACCTCCACCTGGTTCAACCGATTCTCCTGCCTCAGACTCCTGAGTAGCTGGGACTACAGGCATGTGCCACCATGCCCGCCTAATTTTGTATTTTTAGTAGAGACAGGGTTTCACCATGTTGGTCAGACTGCTTTCAAACTCTGGACCTCAGGTGATCCACTTGCCTTGGCCTCCCAAAATGTTGAGATTACAGGTGCGAGCCACCGTGCCTAGCCGATTAATTTCTTTTTATGACAAAAGAAGTAGACATATTTGTTGAAAAAGAAATCAAGCATTATAGACTTGAATAAAGCAAAAGTGTGCTCCTACTCCCAGCCCTGCTTCTGCTCTTCAGATGTAGCCAGTCGGGATGCTTTTGTGTGGGTCCTTCTAGTGTTTTTTTCTTTGCAAATTTATTTGCATGCATATTTTCTTCCCAAACTCACATTGTTCTACAACTTTCTTTATTTTTATCTATTTTTTTCAACTTTCTTTTTTTGTGTGTAATACGTATTGTGGACATTCTTTTTCTTTTCTTTTTTTAAAAGACAGAATCTTTCTTTCTTTTGAGATGGAATTTCATTCTTGTTGCCCAGGCTGGAGTGCAATGGCGTGATCTTGGCTCTCTGCAACCATTGCCTCCCAGGTTCAAGCAATTCTCCTGCTTCAGCCTCCTGAGTAGCTGGGATTACAGGCACCTGCCACCATGCCCTGGCTAATTTTTTGTAATTTTAGTAGAGATGGGGTTTCACCCTGTTGGCCAGGCTGGTCTCGAACTCCTGTCTGCAGGTGATCCACCTGCCTCAGCCTCCCAAAGTGTTGGGAATACAGGCGTGAGCCACTGCACCCAGCCAGATGATACAATTTCTTAAGGCTGCTAGCGCCAATGAAGCAGGGTTGGGGGTGGTCTTGCCAATTATTTTGTAAGATCCCTGAAAGTACCTGGATTAGAACATCCAAATTGTATGCCTAACTTTGTAAGCAACTGTCTCTATGACCCTGAGCAGATTACCTCACCCCCAGGGACCTTTGGGTTATAATCTATAACTGAAGGGATTGGACTAGAATGGGGTTGGTAAACATCTTAAAGCATCAGCCAGTAACTGTTTTAGGCTTTGCAGGCTGTGTTGTATCTGTTTCAACTCTGCTGATATAGCATGAAAGTTGCTACAGACAGGCTGGGCATGGTGGCTCATGCCTATAATCCTAGCACTTTGGGAGGGTGAGGTGGATGTATCACCTGAGGTCAGGAGTTCAGGATCAGCCTGGCCAACATGACGAAACTCCATCTCTACTAGAAATACAAAAATTAGACAGGTGTGGTGGCTCATGCCTGTAATCTCAGGTACTTGAGAGGCTGAGAAAGGAGAATTACTTGAGCCCAGGAGGCAGAGGTTTCAGTGAGCTGAGATCACACCACTGCACTCCAGCCTGTGCGATGGGAGCAAGACTCCATCTCAAAAAAAAGTCACCATAGCCAATACATAAACAAATGAGGGTGACTGTTCCAATAAAACTTTATTTACAAAAACAGGTAGCCAGTGGGCGTAGTGTGGTACACCTATTTGGGGGACTGAGGCAGGAGGACTGCTTGGGTCCAGGTGAGGATCACTTGAGCCCAGGAGTTTGAGGCCAACTGGGCAACATAGTGAGACACTGTCTATAAAACAAAAACAAAAAGCAAAAAAAGAGGCAGCCAGCCTGCAAGCCATATTTTGCTGAGCCCTGGATGAGACAATGTTTAAGATCTGATTCATTTGCAGCCTTTGTGACTGTATAGCCCTATTAGGAGATAGTGACTCCCGCTGCACAGCTGGTCTGCAGTACTCAACTTAGTGCTTATTATATGTGCTTTCTTGCTCTTTATTGCTTTGTGTGTATTAGTGCTGTCTTCCCACCAAGACAGTGAACAGTTAGGCAGCAGGAATTGCCTGGAATTCTACATCTTAATGGGAGCCTAGCACCTTGCTGGACATTAAGAATTACACAGGCCAAGTGCAGTGGCTCACATCTGTAATCCCAGCACTTTAGGAGGCAAAGGTGGGACGATTGCTTGAGCCCAGGAGTTCAAGACCAGCCTGGGCAACATGGTGAAACCCCATATCTGTAAAAACTACAAAAATTAGCCAGGTGTGGTGGTTGTGTGCCTGTAGTCTCGAAACTGGGGAGGCTGAGGTGAGAGGATCACCTGAACCTCAGTGGTTGAGGCTGCTGTGATCTGTGAGTCATGATTGTCCCCCTGCAGTCTAGCTTGGGCAACAGAGTGAGATCCTGTGTCAAAACAAAAAACAAACAAGCAAAAGAATTACACAAAAATACTAACAGCATCGTTAAACAGCTATCACTGATGAGGAGTATGGCATTTATTGTTTGAGTGTCTAATCATGGAGAAGGGTTCATCCTGCATGCTTTCTGTCTCTCCTACCCGCAGCAATCACGGAGGTGGTAAAATGTGAGCATGAGCGGGCTGTCCACCTCTTTGTTGACTCCCTGGTGAATCAGGACAAGCCAAGCTTTGCCTTCCAGTGCACTGACTCCAACCGCTTCAAAAAGGGGATCTGTCTGAGCTGCCGCAAGAACCGTTGTAATAGCATTGGCTACAATGCCAAGAAAATGAGGAACAAGAGGAACAGCAAAATGTACCTAAAAACCCGGGCAGGCATGCCTTTCAGAGGTAACCTTCAGTCCCTGAAGCGTCCCTGAGGAAGGCCCTAAATACCTCCTTCTTCATACCATGTCACAGAGCAGGGCATGTCCCAGCCCAGGAGAAGTGGCCAGCATAGTTCAATCAAATCATTGCAAATCAGATTACACTGTGCATGTCCTAGGAAAGGGAGTCTTTGCAAAATTACCAGTGGAGACTCCTTCTGTGATGTGGCTATCAGTCCATGATCACAATATCAATATCTTAAATTTCTGTCTTGGATGTAAATTTCATATTTGTTTTCTCATTTGATCATCCTAAGAAACCCGAGGCAGATGAACAGGGGACCAAAATGACATGTTACATTTTTGTAATGCGCTATACAATCACAAGATTTTCTGGGTACTGTGGGTATTATTTTAATTGAGGCTCAGAGAGGTTAATACCTTGGCCTTAATCCAGGGGGATGTAGCTAGAAAGTAGTGGAGTGAAAATCCTCAAAAGATCTAACTCCCAAGCACAGGGCTCCTTCTTCTATACTGCAGTGGCCTCATGGCATTGGACAGAACAAGAGCAGATGGGGGCTCAGGTTGGGCTCAACCAAAAGAATGTCAGTCCTAAAATCTCCGTGCTGGGTGACTCAGTTTGGGTCAGGGGTGTCCTCTGATGACAAGCAAGGGTTACAAGGATCTTTGTTCTGCTGTCTCTGCAGTTTACCATTATCAGATGAAAATCCATGTCTTCAGTTACAAGAACATGAGAGAAATTGAGCCCACCTTTTATGTCACCCTTTATGGCACTAATGCAGATTCCCAGACTCTGCCATTGGAAATGTAAGTCATCAGTTTCCCTTGCCGGGTTTGGGACAGATAACAGGTTGGTTTGAGAATGAGAGAGCACAAGGGGGTGTGTGAACAAGCGCAGGACGCAGGAGAGTGGAGTCCGACAGTTTAGGGAAGAGCCAGGTGGCCTGGCTGGCCTCTGCGGTCCTCGCTTCTGCTGCGCCTTCTCCACCAAGCCCTGACTCAATGTTTCTGGGAAGAAAACTCCTGGGATGAATCAGCAGTGTGAGAAGCTGCTGGATCAGCAGCTGGATCAGCAGCTGGATCAGCTGGGCAGAAACTGCTGTTTTGTTCCAGGCAATGCCTGACGAGGCTTCAGGCAACCTGGAACTTCATAAATGTCATCCCTGGACCTTTCCTCATGAGGTGGCTATGGGAGGGGTGCGTAGTGATCTATATATATATTTGTTGAGTACCAGGGACAAAGTGTCATGCCAGGTAATGTTGGGATTGTGATGAAACATCATCAAAGCAGCTCACTTCTCAGGGCTCAGGGTCTAGCTGGGAGACCAGGTTCACAAACATTCATATACATTTATACACAGATGGGACAAGGCCAACCAGGCCAAGCCAAATGGGAGAGTCAGACAGGAAGTGGCTAGGAGTTTGGGGGAGTCAGATGCCTGTGAGCTGAGCAAAACAGCGCACTTGGGTGTGGATGTGACTTTTCTGTGTTTTCTTTTGTTTGAGACGGAGTCTCACCAGGCTGGAGTGCAGTGGTGTGATCTTGGCTCCCTGCAACCTCCGCCTCTGGGTTCAAGCGATTCTCCTGCCTCAGCCTCCCGAGTAGCTGGGATTACAGGTGCCCACTACCATGCCTGGCTAATTTTTGTATTTTTAGTGGAGATGGGTTTCGCCATATTGGCCAGGCTGGTCTAGAACTCCTGACCTCGTGATCCACCCTCCTCGGCCTCCCAGCATGCTGGGATTACAGGTGTGAGCTGCTGCTCCAGGCTGTGTTTTCTTACTGTGTCCTTTCTTGGTCCTGTCTCTTCAGGAACTAGCATAAATGGGGTGGAGGGGTGCCCAGAAATGGTTTTGATAAGAAGCTGGAGTGCTGTGGGCAAAGTTAGCTCGGCCCATGTGGAGCACACCTGAGCATCCACCTTGCTCCTGCTGGTGGGAGTTGGAGGGCTAGAGGTGGGGGAAGGGCTCACACCGTCTCTCTCCTGTGTGTGTGTGTGGTTGTTACTGCCACTGTCACCCTGCACAGTGTGGCAGTTTTCCAGCTGTCAGGGGAGTGAGATCAGCTTCTCTCTCACTTGTAGAGTGGAGCAGATCGAGCAGAATGCCACCAACACCTTCCTGGTCTACACTGAGGAGGACTTGGGAGACCTTCTGAAGATCCAGCTCACCTGGGAGGGGACCTCTCAGTCTTGGTACAGCCTGTGGAAGGAGCTTCGCAGCTACCTGTCTCAACCCCGCAACCCCAGGCAGGAGCTGCATATCAGGCGCATCCGGGTGAAGTCTGGGGAAACCCAGCGGAAGTAAGTGTCTCCTGCTCCTTCTTCTGCCTGGCTGTGCCTCTGCCATTTCTTTTCCTTTGCTGCATCTACCCTCAGTCCTTCCTCCAGCATGCAGGTAAAACCTTAAACGCCTTCCCAAGGACAAGTGACTTCCAGATCAAGTTTTCTGCCAACTGTTGCACATCTCATGCCCTGATCATAGGCCCTCGGCTGAGAGGGGTGGGCCAGTGGAGGCGGGAGTTCAGCCCTGGCTCTGTTTGCCAGGCCTTGTGTCAGCCTGAAGGAGGGGGGCTTCTCTTGGACCAGGCTTTTTAGGAGTGCTGCCTTGTTGATCTGTTTACTGTGGGGTCCATGCAGACAAAAGGCTTTGCTTGTTTCTGACCAGAGCAGACTGGAGTGTTACGTCCAGGGAGCCCCCACGGATGAGGTCTGTGGGAGGCGCTGGTTTTTCCCCAGCATATGATTTTCAGAGCATTATTATACCTCTCCTTCAGAGGTTCTAAGTCAAGGATGTGGGGCTGTGGTTCTAACTGCAAATAACAGAATCCTCTGTGCCATGCTAGCTGGCAGTTTCTCATTTCTTTTAACCCCAAGCCTAGCATAAAAGATCCAGACCTTTCTATCAGCTTTTAACACTGCAGCTTGACTCCCTGAGCAGGCTTCTTTCTAAACAGAAGCCAGGGAATCCTGGAGACCTTTGTCAAGAGGGGAGGGTTTTCTTAACCAAGCCCTTCAGGTGACCTCCAGAGAGATCACTGCCAGCCTTGGCGTGGGTGGAGGCAGCTGCCTCCCCGTTATCCCTTCTCTGGCATTTTCTCCATTATAATTCTTGCCATGTCTTGTTGACATTCATCATCTATGGCACAGCTTGGCAGCAGAGGGAAGTAAAGTGGAGGCTTGGGGCCCTCAGCTGAATGATTCTAGTCTTGAAACGTGGGAACTGGGGGTGCCGGCTTGTGGTCTAGACTGTGTATCCTTTTACTTCTCTGGGCTCTTGTAGGCGCAAACTACACCTATGGGTGTGATAGCAGAAAGATCATCATTTATAAATAAAATATACACCGATTAAACCGCCGCTGAGACTTAAAAATGTAAATAGTTTTCCATGTTGGTTTCAGATACAAGATTTTTAAAAAGTAACACATTATTAATACAGTTGAAGTCCCTGTGTCCTTCTCTGCTCTATCCCTCTCTCTTTCAAACCAAATAAGTAACTATTTCAATATTAACAAATGTTAGTGTGTTTTCCTTCCTTCATTTTTTAATATTCTTTTTTCTTTCTCTCCCTCCCTGTCTCTCTCTCTCTCCCTCCCTCCCTCTGCCCCCCCCCTCCTTCTTTCTTTCTTTTGACTGAGTCTCATTTTATCATCCAGGCTGGAGTGCAGTGGTGTGATCTCAGCTTACTGCAACCTCCACCTCCTGGATTCAAGTTGTTTCCCTGCCTCAGCCTCCTGAGTAGCTGGGATGGCAGGCATGTGCCACCATGCCCAGTTAATTTTTGTATTTTTTAGTAAAGACAGGGTTTTGCCATGTTGGCCAGGCTGGCCTTGAACTCCTGACCTCAGGTGATCCACCCGCCTCGGCCTCCCTAAGTGCTGGGATTACAGGTGTGAGCCACAGCACCCGGCCCCCTTAGTACTTCCGTTTGTATACATAAACTATGTATAGAATTGTTTTGAGATGCTTCTGAATTTTGCATGAGTAGACATTATCTTTTACAAATTGATTTTTTCACTGCAAATATTGTTTGTAAAGTTTATCCAAAACATAAAAATCTAATCTATTCTTGTTTAACTCCTGTATGTAAATGACCATTGCACAAATAGTTTTGCCACTGTTCTGTTGAAAATTTAAGTTATTGCTGCTTTTTCGTACTTACGAATGGTGCCTAGATGAATAGCCTCTGCATTTTCCTTGTGCACATGTGTGTGAGGGCTGTTTTTCAGCATGTGTTCCAAAAAGTGGAATTGCTGGGTTGTGGTATATGCATTCTCCAGCCTGACCAGATATTACTAAATCTCTCTTCAAAGTGGTTGGACTAATTTTCCATCTTAACTATAGATGAAGAGTTCCCTTTTCCCTCCTTTTCACCCATATCTGGTGGAATATTCTTGCCATTTTGTTAGGTGTGAATGGGCTCCCTGCTGTTGTTTGAATTTGCATTTCCTGATTGTGCGTGAGATAGGTCATTTTTTTTTTTTTTTTTTTTTTGAGACGGAGTTTTGCTCTTGTTAGCCAGGCTGGAGTGCAATGGCACGATCTCGGCTCACCGCAACCTCCGCCTCCTGGGTTCAGGCAATTCTCCTGCCTCAGCCTCCTGAGTAGCTGGGATTACAGGCGCGCCACCATGCCCAGCTCATGTTTTTATATGTGTATAAACATAAGGGTCCTAAGGTCGTTAGGGTTTCCTGGGAAAGGCTCTTAAACTGTTCTGAATGGGGCTTTTGTCCTGCCTCAGCTCCAGGGTCAGGTGCCTGACACACTTCAGGATTACGTGGTCATGCTAATCTCACGTCCCCCAGGCTGCTGTGTGGGGCAGCCATAGGTTCCAGGACAATGGTTATTAGGCCCCGGTTCTTTCTTGTGTTCTTGGCTGTCCATTTGCTGAATCTTTGGTTTTGACTTGCAGCTGAGTTCCAGTTGCTCTTGTCAATGGATATTTACAGAGCACTGAACTAGAGATATTTTGAATCACTCCGTTCAAGCTTAGAGTCTAGTAGAGAAGTCAACCACAGACATCAGCAAGCAATTTCAGGCAGGGCATAACATTTTAAAATAAAAAGTTCCTTTTAAACTCCATGTTGCAAGAAGTAGCAACACTAACAAAAGCAATATTTATATAAGGACATACTTTGTAACCAGTTGAAAGGCCAAGGGAGGGTTAGGTTAATGAGGCTCAGACAGTCAGGGAGGTTTCTGAGCAGCTATGGCCTTGAGAGGCAGTTGGTGTTTTTGGATAGACAGAGGGAAGCAGGTGGCAGAGGTCTGGCTGAGGCTGCATGAGGCTGAAGCATGGAAGCCTCAAAGCGAGACACAGTTTAGAGTCCCTGCAGTAGTGTCGGGGAATTCTGAAGGCTTTTGAGTCAGGGCATGGCAGGAGAATTTCATCCCTGCCTCCTCACCCATCTGCCTTGAATCCAGAAAGCACAGCTGGAATCCCTCTAGAGTTCTGGCTACATCAGTAGTTTCTTTTCCTTCCTAGACTGACATTTTGCGCAGAGGACCCTGAGAACACCAGCATATCCCCAGGCCGGGAGCTCTGGTTTTACAAGTGTCGGGATGGCTGGAGGATGAAAAACGAAACCAGGTAACCAGGACTTTCTCATGTGTTTCATTCAGCACATATTGACTGATCGCCAAGCGTGGATCTGCGTCTGGGGGACGTAGCATGAACAAAACAGATAAAAAGGTCTTCCTTTAAGAAGATGAGTCGGGCATGGTGGCTCACACCTGTAATCCCAGCACTTTGGGAGGCTGAGGCGAGCAGGTCACCTGAGGTCAGGAGTTCAAGACCAGCCTGACTAACATGGTGAATTCCCGTCTCTACTAAAAATACACACACACACACACACACACACACACACACACACACAAATTAACTGGGTGTGATGGTGCACACCTGTAATCCCAACTACTTGGGAGGCTGAGGCAGGAGAATTGCTTTAACCCAAGACGTGGAAGCTACAGTGAGCTGAGACCGCACCATTGTACTCCAGCAGTCTGGGTGACAAGAACAAAGCTCTGTCTCAATAATAAATAAATAAATAAATAAATAAATAAATGAAATAAAGAAGCTGATCTTCTGCTAGAAGGAGATAAAAAAGCAAGTGAAATACCGTAGATAGGCTGTTGGAGGTGTTAATGTCTCTTCTGCACTTTGTCCTGACTCAACCTGCAGGGTGCATTGCACATAACCCTGCTGGATGAGGTGTTCTCGGTAACTAAGTCCCCGGGTTGGTGCCCATGCCTGCCATCTTGAAGCATCTTCTTTTTTCCACCCCGCTTGGCAGGATCTTACTCTGTCACCCAGGCTGGAGTGCAGTGGTATGATCCTGGCTCACTGCAGTCTCAACCTCCCCAGGCTTGGGTGATCCTTCCACCTTTGCCTCCCGAACAGCTGGGACCACAGGCACATGCCACCATACCCAGCTAATTTATGTATTTTTGCAGACACAGGGTTTCATCATGTTACCCGGTCTGGTCTTGAACTCCTTGGCTCAAGTGATCCACCTGCCTCGGCCTCCCAAAATGCTGGGATTACAGGTGTGAACCACTGTACCTGGCCCCTGCCATCTTTGATTGACGTCTTCCCTGTAACAACTAGAGCTGCGGGAAGATGCCTAAGGGCTCCTAGCTTTCTTCTGGCCACCAGGTCAGGGTTGGGAATGGGGTGAGAGATAAGGAGAAGCACAAAGCATGTTCTCCTTCCTTTGGTTTTCTAGAACCCAGGTGATTGTGGGCCTAATTCTCCCACATACTTTTTTTTTTTTTTTTTTTTTTTTTTTTTTTTTTTTTTGAGACAGAGTCTTGCTCTGTTGCCCAGGCTGGAGTGCAGTAGAACAATCTTGGCTCGCTACAGCTTCCGCCTTCTGGGTTCAAGCAATTCTCCTTCCTCAGCCTCCTGAGTAGCTGGGATTACAAGTGCCTGCTATCATACTCAGCTAATTTTTTTTTATTTTTTATTTTTTTAAATTTTTTTATTTTTTTTTATTTTTTATTTTTTATTTTTATTTTTATTTTTATTTTTATTTTTTTTTGAGACGGAGTTTCGCTCTTGTTACCCAGGCTGGAGTGCAATGGCGCGATCTCGGCTCACCGCAACCTCCGTCTCCTGGGTTCAGGCAATTCTCCTGCCTCAGCCTCCTGAGTAGCTGGGATTACAGGCACGCACCACCACGCCCAGCTAGTTTTTTGTATTTTTAGTAGAGACGGGGTTTCACTATGTTGACCAGGATGGTCTTGATCTCTCGACCTCGTGATCCACCCGCCTCGGCCTCCCAAAGTGCTGGGATTACAGGCTTGAGCCACCGCGCCCGGCCGAAATTTTTTTATTTTTTTAGAAGAGAAGGGGTTTTCCCATGTTGGCTATCCTGGTCTCAAACTTTTGACCTCAAATGATCTGCCTGCCTTGGCCTCCCAAAGTGCTGGCATTACAAGCCATTGTGCCGAACCCCCACCTTCCCCCTCTTTGAGAAACAGAAATGCTCGTGTATGTGGAGCTAAGTGAGACAGAGGAGTTGTCATGCTTCACTATCCCCTTCTCCCATGCTGCAATCCATTATTTCAGACATGAGGAAGGCCCATCTGGTGGTGTGAGGCAGTGGGCTCATCCTGGGGAGCCAGCCACATGACCTCTAAGCTGAAACACCTGCTGAGGAGGAAGGAGATTGTCTCCCTGCACCATGCTTACCCCCACCCCTTGCTGTAACCAGCGTACTAGATAATAATACTGCTGTGATATACCTAGCACTTAGCTTGGGCCCAGCCTGCATCCAGGGACTTACATGATCATGTTTATCATCAACCCCATGAGGTGGGGGTTGTTATCCCTGTGTACAGATGAGAAACCGAGCCTCAGGGAGACAAAGCTTCTCTCCCAAGTCCCCCAGGAATGGCAGAGGGAGTTGAAGCAGGTCGGTCTACTCCAAAGCCTGTGCCCTTGAGCACCGAGGCTCCATGTGCTTAGATGAATCTCCTCGCCTCTGTCTGGGTATCAATTATCAGGCAGCTGTGCCCAGGCTCCGGGGTGCCCTGTGATTAACCGTTTGCCACCCCTGAGGCTGGGCTGCATCCCAGCTGCTCTGTCTCCTAGTTAAAAGCTCAACACGACCACACACCCCATCATCACAGGACTCGTGCTCATCTAATTAAGAGACTTGGTTTAGCATAGGCTTGTATGATTTTCCGCTATCATAACAATTGTAAATCTTTATGTGTTAAAATTTATACATCTCAAAGTGTTTCCACTTATATTAGCTTCATCGATCTTCCAGACAACCATGTAGATTGGTCACACCCAGGAAAAATGGCTAAGTAAGGCTATTCTTTTTTTTTTTTTTTTTTTTGAGATAGGGTCTTGCTCTGTCACCCAGGCTGGAGTACAGTGGCACTATCACAGCTCATTGCAGCCTCGACATCCCTGTGCTCAGGTGATCCTCCTGCCTTAGCCTCCTGAGGAGCTTGGATTACAAGAATGTGTCATCATGCCTGGCTAATTTTTGTACTTTTTGTAGAGATGAGGTTTCACCATGTTGCCCAAGCTGGTCTCCAACCCCTGGGCTAAAATGATCTGCCTGCCTCAGCCTCCCAAAGTGCTGAATTTGCAGGCATGAGCCACCACGCCTGGTCAGGATAGCTAGTCTTATGATAAAGGCTAAGACATTTATTCTTCTTTCCTGCTTTGGAATTCATTTACCTGAGAGCATTCTATCACACCCTCTCACTACTAATTTTAGTAAACAAGTTGTCATTTCCCTTTCCCTCAAAAACAGTAGGAGCCCAAGTCATAAATGAACATTAGGAAGCCATGGCAGCACAGGTAACATGTTCACATCTTTCGCTCCTGACTTGGATGCTATTCACACGTTCACTGAGAAGGAGGCTGAGATTTGGAGAGGCTCAGTGGTGTGTTCCCATAGCTGAGGCTAGCACCCAGGTCTCCCAACTCCCAGTCTTGCCCTCTTCCTGCCATAACAGGATCTCTCTTGTATTTCTAGATCAAGGCAACGAGGTTGCTTTGATAGTTTTCCCCACACTTGTGTGTCTGTGATTGTGCATGCGTGCATGTTGTGGATGGGTACTGGCCTAAATATACAAATGCAAGAACTGTGATGTACTCAGCTAGGGGTCTAGAGCAGGCATCCCCAAACTATGGCCCGTGGGCCGCATGCGACCCCCTGAGGCCATTTATCCGGCCTCCCGCCGCACTTCAGGAAGGGGCACCTCTTTCATTGGTGGTCAGTGCGAGGAGCACAGTATGTGGCGGCCCTCCAACGGTCTGAGGGACAGTGAACTGGCCCCCTATGTAAAAAGTGTGGGGACGCCTGGTCTAGAGGGTGCTGCCGCATGGTGTTTCTCAAAGTACCTCTGTGGCTTGTTGGGTTAGGGAGAGATGGCAGCACTCGAGACCTTGCCCATTTATTCTGAAAGAAATGCAGGTAAAATAGTCCCCTAGGGGTGTCAGAAAGCTTGGCCTTGAGGTCAACAGCATACCCAGAATACAGGCTTGCACGTTTGCTGGTACCTGAGCTAATGAATGGCACTGTCACATGTTTTTTTTCAGTCCCACTGTGAAGCTTCCCTGAGGGTGCCCGGGCAAGTCTTGCCAGCAAGGCTGCAAGACTTCCTGCTATCCAAGCACATGGAGGAAAGTTACTGCTGAGGACCCACCCGATGGAAGGATTCTTCTCGGCCTTGACCTTGGAGTACTGGGAACAAGTGGTCTCCTGTGATGGCCGGGACTCCTCGTGGGAGGGGACTGCGCTGCTATAGCTCCTGCTGCCTCTCTTGAATCGCTCTAACTCCAAGCCTCTGTCTATACCTCCAGAGCACCAAGTCCAGATTTGAGTGTAAGCAGCTGGGTGCCCCAGGGCCTATCATGCACACTGGATTGGTTTCTTAGTTGCTGGGTGAGCCTGTACGCTGCCTACAAGGAATGCTGGCTCCAAAGAGGGTCTGTGTGGAAGGCTGTCAGCTGCTTAGCTTGCCTTGAGCCTTACTGAGAAGTCCTTCTGTTGGGAGCTGACTCATGTCATGGGAGCAGGCCTGATATCTTGTTCAGGCTCTGACTGTTGGGTTCTCATGGACTGAACTGACCACACTGGCTATATCTTAGCTATTCCGTCCTGCTCCCCAGCTCACTCTCTGAAGCACACATCATTGGCTTTCTTACTTTTCTGTTCATTTTTTAATTGAGCAAATGTTTATTGAACACTTAAAATTAGTTAGAATGTGGTAATGGGCATATTACTGAGCCTCTCCATTCAAAACCCAGTGGAGTTGAGATTTCTTGACCCCCTTTCTATTTGGATGGTATATGTGTATATGCATGGGGAAAGGCATTTTGGGCCTGGTGGAGGCTGTAGGATGTAAGCATCAGGGATCCTGAGGCTTTAAGTGGTTTCTATTTTTTCTTAGTTAATATGTGCCGCCTCCCCTGTGAGTGACGTGTTTGATCACTAGCAGAACAGCAAGCAGAATGTCATCCATGCTGGGGCCAGGATGATGGCCAGTTGCCAGATACAACTGCTTTGGAGCAAATCTCTTCTGTTTAGGGAGATAGAAGGTATGACGTATGTAATACATACCTGTGTCCACAGAAACCAGCACCTGCCAGACGGAGCTGGTTCTAAGAGTTAATGTAGTGCTTTTTTCCTCCTTGAAATATTTTGCTTCAATACCAGAGCCTTTTCTCGTTGAAATTCTTGGAAAAGCCACCGATTCTAGATCTTGGTTTGAATTAATACACACAATATCTGAGACACCTATACTTTTCAAAAGATTTGTGTGTGTACATTACCTAATTAGAGTAGGGAGAGAAGGGCAGCTATTATTATCCCTATTTTACAAAACTGAGGCTTAGTGAGGTTCAGCCACGTGCCTAGACTTATATACCTAGTTAGTGGTGCAGCCAGGCAGAGGACCCAGATTTCCTGGAGGCAAAGTCCATCTCTGAAACTCCATGAAGATGTTTGCAACCAATTCCCACCAATACACTCTAGGTGTGAGACAAACAAGCAAACAAGGCCTTTTTTTTTTTTTTTTTTTTTTTTTGTAGAACCATCAATAAAATCCTAAGCCCTTTTATTAATGTATAACCAGGAGAATATCTGTGCCAAGAGATTGGACGTTTTATGGCTGAGATTCGCCAGGAAGTGTGGGGGAGGAAGAACGATTTTCTTTGTACTTAGGTTTTCTAAGGACATTGTTTTAATCTGTATCATGCCAAAGTTGTATCACTGTTAAACTTTTGAAGACATAACCAGTTAACTGTTCATTCAAGGTTCTCAAGCCAACTCTGTGCTTGTCTTGTTTCCGTGATTGCTTTCTAGCCGAAGTGAAGCTTGCATAGGTTGAGTATCCCTTATCCAAAATGCTTGGAATCAGAAGTGTTTCAAATTTCAGGTTATTTTCAGATTTTGGAATATTTGCATATACATAATGAGATATTTTGGGAATAGGACCCAACTCTAAACATAAACCTTATTTATGTGTCATTTACACCTTATCCACGTAGCCTGAGGGTAATTTTATACAATATTTTAAATCACGTGCCTTAAGCACGGTTTGTGTTAAGTACTTATGTGTGGGGTTTTCTACTTGTGGTGTCTTGTTGGTGCTCAAAGAGTTTTGGATTTTGGAGCATTTCAGATTTTGGATTTTTGGATTAGGGATGCTCAACCTGTATTATTGGCTGTACATCCTGGTCACTTCTGACTTCTGTTTTTACTAAAGGAAGGTTTTGGGAATTGAATTCTCAGCAGGTTGTATATTTATACACCTGGCTTGAAGCCTTAATTGTATATAATGATGCTTTTTTAAAAATGCTACCTAGAGGACTATTTATTTCTCAAGTGTATATAATGTATAAAAACAAATATATCGTTAGTTTTTACTTAAGGTTAACCAATTTCAAGATTAAATTTTTAAAGTAGTAAAATAATAAAAAATTATAAAGTTCTTAATGGTCTGGCAACTCAATTCTTCTTTTGCTTTTTTTTGACAGAGCCTCTCTCTGTTACCCAGGCTGGAGTGCTGTGGTAATCTCAGCTCACTACAACCTCCACCTCCTGGGCTCAGGTGATCCTCCCACCTCAGCCTCCCAAGTAGCTGGGATTACAGGCATGCGCCACCATACCTGGCTAATCTTTGTGTGTTTAATAGAGATAGGGTTTCACCATGTTGGCCAGGTTGGTCAGACTGGTTTTGAACTCCTGGCCCAAAGTGATCCACCTACCTCAACCTCCCAAAGTGCTGGGATTATAGGTGTAAACCACCGGGCCTGCCCAATTCTTAAAGTTTGAAAGCATTATAACTGCCCCAACCTAAGGCCTGACAAAAAGTTACTCTAATATAAGGCCTGCTCTTTATTTGACACTCGTTGTTGGCAGAAGTGGTTCACTAAAGAACCAGAACCAGAACAAGAACATCCTTTCCCCAAAGATGAGAAGAAAAATTACTTCAATTGTAGCAGCTTAAAGGCCTGAAGGTGGATATTAGGAAGAACAGGGAGCTTGGCTGGACATTGGGGAGCATTAGTGAGGCTATAGGTCTGGTTGAAGGGGACCTAGATATCACTGACTTGGACCAGAGAGAAGCTGATTTCTCTATTGGTTAAAGTCCCAGTTGGTAATAAGGTTCTATTCTACAGTCCAAGAGGGGTTCAGGTTCTTAGGTTTTCACTGTGCCATTCATAGGGTATTCCTTGCATCCCCACAGCCCAGAGGTTCCCCATTAGGTCCCTTATCAGCCAGTGGAAAGGTAGAAAAGGGAAGGGATGGACAGTCTCCTCGTAAAGACATGACTGAGAAGTTGCCTACATTCTATTGGTTGGAAATGAATCCATGGTCACATCAGAGGCTGGGAAATACTGTCTTTGTTCAGGGTGCCCATGGGCTCAGCTGAAGATCCAATTACTAGTTTTTATTTATTTATTTTTAAAAACTAACATATAATAATGGTACATATTTGTGGGGTAAATAATGATGTTTTGATACATGCAAGGCATAGTGATCATATCAGAATAATTAGCATATCCATCATCTCAAACATGTATCATTTCTTTGTGTTGGAACATTCAATATCCTTCTTTTAGTTACTTGAAACCATATTTTAGTAACTCTAGCTACCCTGCAGTGGTATAAGACACTAGAACTTATTCCTCCTGTCTAGATGTAATCTTGTTTTTTCTTTTTTTTTTTTTTTTGAGATGGAGTCTCACTCTGTAGCCCAGGCTTCAGTGGCACAATCTTGGCTCACTGCAACCTCTACCTCCTAGGTTTAAGTGATTCTTCTGCCTCTGCCTCTCAAGTACCTAGCATTACAGGCATGCATCACCACACTCAGCTAATTTTTGCAGGGTTTCACCATGTTGACCAGACTGGTCTTGAACTGACCTCAAGTGATCCACCCGCCTCAGCCTTCCAAACTCTTGGGATTATAAGCATGAGCCACCATGCCTGGCCACTAGCTGTCATTTTGTATCTTTTAACAGTTTTGTCCCTGTTTCCCCTTCCCCCTACCAATTACTACTTATAAAAAGGGAAATTGGATATTACTATCTATTTGTCAGGAATCAATTTTTATCTGCCAAAGCCAGAGAGACAGATCAGAGTACCCTTTAAATGATTAAATCCTGTAGTTGATTTTTAGTAATCTGAAATTGCTCTATGACTATGAAGTATGAGTTACATCAGTTTGACTCTATTTCTGGTCTTAAGTGTGAAAACATTTTAAAATGAGAAGAAAGCTTTATGTAAGGGGCTTTAATGTTGGTGGAAATTCCACTGTCCCTCTCTACCAAGGACATTCTGAAACCAGGCTTGATAATGGCTGTAGGGAGTTGGGGTAGACAATAAGAGGTAAGTTCTTAACTTAGTTCAGATGTCAGAGGAAAGCAAAAAATGGTGACTCTGGCATACCAAAGAAAACTGCTGAAATTTCCCAAAGGAAGAGCCATAGCCTGGATGACTTCAAGTACCTTGTTTGACTTGGGGGTTCAGTTACTAATTAGAGTCAGGGGAACATCCACAGGCCTTCCTTTGACTCTCCAAACAAGCTGAAGCCTCAAACTCCTTGAAAGAATGGATACAAAATAGGTATTAGAACAGTCTTTGTCATCAAATATGCTATTTCTCAGTTATCACCTCTGTGTTCAGAGCTACCCTGAGCCCTCTGCTATGTAAGCTCTCGGAGGGCACAGATTTTTATCTGGCTTGTTATCTGCCATTGTCTTAGAACCTAGAATAGTGTCTGGAACATTATGGGCATTCAATGAATATTTAAATAGATGAAATTAGATATAAGAAACCAGGTGCTTAAACAGGCAGGAGGTAATCTGGGAAAAGAGCAGTTAGTTTGAAATCAGAATTCTTGGTGTGTCAGCTAGCATTATGTGAGCTTTAGGCTAAATATAACCTTTCTGAGTCTCTATCTGCTCATTTAAGAAACAGAGACAATACTCAGGGTTGTTGTGAATATTAAAGGTACATGGTAAGAAAGAAAGTATGTGTGTTTTGTAAACGTTTGAATAGATAAGACAAAGATAAAAATAAAATCATTTCCATGTATATGTGGAAATTTTATGTATGATAAAGGGAGTCTATTAATCTTTGGGAAAGAAATGGATGGATGATGAAAAAGTAAAGCTCATTTAATAAAGAGAAACAAAATTAGATCCTTATCTTAACTTGCAACAAAGATGAATTCCAAAATACCTGTTGGGTACTATGCTTATTACCTGAGTGATAAAATAATCTCCCCAGCAAACTTCTGTGACATACCATTTACCTATATAACAAACCTGCACTTGTACCCCTAAACCTTAAATAAAAGTTAAAAAACCATCAACCTCCCCAAAACAAAAATGAATTCCACTTGAATAAAAGGTATAAATGTGAAAGTCATCATGCTAATAGATATTATGAAACCTGTATAAAAACTGAAAAAATGTAAAATGTCACAATTAGAATAAGAAAATTTAAATAGAGCTTTTCCTGTCGTGGCCTGCGTGGTGTCGGCTCGTGGGTCTCAGAGACCCGAAAACTAAGAGCATTTTTACGTCCCTGGGGCCGCTCCTGGCAGCTCTGCGGCCATCACCATGCCACAGAACGAATACATTGAATTACACCGTAAACGCTATGGATACCGTTTGGATTACCATGAGAAAAAGAGAAAGAAGGAAAGCCGAGAAGCTCATGAACGTTCAAAGAAGGCAAAGAAAATGATTGGTCTGAAAGCTAAGCTTTACCATAAACAGCGCCACGCTGAGAAAATACAAATGAAAAAGACTATCAAGATGCATGAAAAGAGAAACACCAAACAGAAGAATGATGAGAAGACTCCACAGGGAGCAGTACCTGCCTATCTGCTGGACAGAGAAGGACAATCTCGAGCTAAAGTACTTTCCAATATGATTAAACAGAAACGAAAAGAGAAGGCGGGAAAATGGGAAGTCCCTCTGCCTAAAGTCCGTGCCCAGGGAGAAACAGAAGTATTAAAAGTTATTCGAACAGGAAAGAGAAAGAAGAAGGCGTGGAAGAGGCTGGTTACTAAAGTCTGCTTTGTCGGAGATGGCTTTACAAGAAAACCACCTAAATATGAAAGATTCATCAGGCCGATGGGCTTGCGTTTCAAGAAAGCCCATGTGACACATCCTGAACTGAAAGCCACATTTTGCCTACCAATACTTGGTGTAAAGAAGAATCCTTCATCCCCACTGTATACAACTTTGGGTGTTATTACCAAAGGTACTGTCATTGAGGTAAATGTGAGCGAATTGGGCCTTGTGACGCAAGGAGGCAAAGTTATTTGGGGAAAGTATGCCCAGGTTACGAACAATCCTGAAAATGATGGATGCATAAATGCAGTCTTACTGGTTTGACAGCAATTTAATATGTAAGTAGAGGACTATACACCAATTGGAAAAACTGCCATTACTGTACTGTTTCTCAATACTACCAAACAGCCATACATGTCTGCAATCAAGATTTATTGTAAACATTAAAATGGTCCCGTTGTATAAATGGTCTTTATTTTGAAATCTACTTAGACCCCCCCATGTTAATAAAACTGATTGAAAAAAAAAAAGAAAATTTAAATAGAACAATAAATATTAAATAAATTAAAATGCTAATAAAATATTTGCCTTGGGGCTGGGCGCAGTGGCTCATGCCTGTAATCCCAGCACTTTGGGAGACCAAGGCGGGTGGATCACCTGAGGTCAGGATTAGAGACCAGCCTGGCCAACGCAGTGAAATCCTGTCTCTACTAAAAGTACAAAAAATTGCCAGGTGTGTGTGGTGGCAGGCGCCCGTAATCCCAGTTACTCAGGGTGCTGAGGTAGGAGAATCACTTGAACCCAGGAAGTGGAGGCTGCAGTGAGCCGAGGTCATGCCATTGCACTTCAGCCTCGGCGACAGGAGCAAAACTCCTTTTCAAATATAAATAAATAAAATAAAATATTCTCCTTGATTTCATATATTTAAAAAACTTCCTAGTCTTGGAGATTTTTCTGGGAAATTTTACCAGGATTTCAAGGAGCATATACTCCCAAACTTACACAAGTAGTTCCAGATAACAGAAAAAAGGAGAAATATTTCCAAATCTTACCAACTTATTTAGGAAAAAAAAATTATAGGCCAAATTTCATTGTGAACATAAATGAAAAGTTCAAGGAACCCTGTGCACGGTGGTATGCACCACCATTCTGGAGAATAATATAGCGCTGTTTAATGAATTTAAATATATATACTTTATAACCTGCATCTCCCACACTTTCTCTATCTATATATCTGTATCTATATATATCCTAGAGCTATTCTTACATTGGTTCCTAGTGGGACATGTTAATTATACTTATGCCATTATTGTTTATTACAGTGGAGTGTTGGGGGCAACCTAGACGTATTAGGTTTCTATTGCTGCCTAACAAATTATCCCAAATTTAATGGCTTAAAATGATGTC